AATCCGGCCAGGCCAACCCAATACAGCATTTGGGAAGAAAAAGCTGTCAAAGCTGTCTGAGGTCTGCTATTCATTTTGCAGAAAGGTTGCAGTTGTAATCTACTAAAAGTTTTTGCTTTATTTTTTTTCCAAAGGCTTATTTGACTTTGTCAGTAGATTGTGGCCTCTTATACGTTTGAAGAAAGGGAAAAGCAGTATTCCTTTTAATATCTTTATTGTACCTGTTAGAATTGTGAGCCTGGGAAAGGAGTAGGCCTTTAACAAGCCTGTCACTATGTTGTTATCTTTGCTTGTGTATGGAAATTTACTGGGTGCGAGGTAAGGAAGGGAATTACAAGCTGAAGGGAGTAATATAAAGTAATGTGAAAAGCTTGCCTCTTGGATCTGAAGGACAGCTCAGCAGAGGTATAGATTGTTTGCACAAGAAGGGGCTATAAACAGTATTTATTACAAAGTAGTGAGAATACTTAAAAATTAAATTAGAGATAAGTTATATAGCTATTGTTACTAAAATCTGATACTTTCTGTTGCTTTGGATCTTAATTTCATAAATGTCCTCTTGGGGAAGAGGAGTGAAAGAGCCTCTTTTTAATGACTGTTTGATAATGAAATTGTTTGTTCATGAGAAAAAGTGTGTGTAGGTGAGAAAAATACTCTGGGGCAAAATATCCTCCAAATATTCAGCATATTTAAGTTTGCATCACCATCAGTATTTTTTTACACGTCGCCTTTCTGCCATCAAAGTTGTTCTAGTAAGTCTGAGAGTGTTATTCTTGGTGAACGTATCTATGCCAGCAGAAGCACAAGTGTTGACAGCTGTACCATCAAAATAGTACTTCCACTGTTTAAATAGTTGTGTTACTGTGCTGCCACTCTAGATGTGATCACAGAAACTGAATGTTCACACTGTAGGAGATGAACTGTTGCGGCAAATGTACCGTATTTTCTTTTTGAGTTTTTAGTTCCTAGGACTGGTAACCCCATCCTCCAGTGAATATTTTTAAAAGTTCCATGTAATGCGTAATATTACAAGTATTTTAGATAAAAATATGCGTGTTCTATGATATAGTAGAGTTTGACTGAAATTATAGGTTTTCATTACAGGTATTGCATCCAGCTGTAGAGTCTCTAGACCTCCAAGGATGTGATATTTCAGATAATGCATTGTTGCAGCTTTATAACTGCAAGCAACTGAAAAAAATCAACTTAAATTCTTGCAAAAACCCCAGATTGGGAATCACTTCAGAAGGTATGTTATCTGTGCACAGATAACTGGGATCTTATTTCTGTTTTGTTTTTCTTGTTAGAGTAAATTTAAAAAAAAATACTTTGTGGTAAGTATGACTTTAAAAAAATCCCCAATTCCACATCAATGCTAATTGAGATTCACTACAGTAGTGTAAATTAACAGGCCTAGAGTACTGATTATCTTGTGAGTGAAAGCTATTGGGTTACTCTCATGCTAAGTTTCACCTAAAACTATGCTACGTTTGAAAATATTTCTCACGTCATCTTAGCTACTCCTTCCTCAAAACTTGTTTCAGAGCCTTCACAGTACCGCTGGGGTTGAAGTTTTTGTCTTGTAATATCCTAAATTACATTTAAAAGACGGGGGGAAGTATTTCTTATTAAATAAGCTTATAACATTTTCTCTGACTTAAAAGATTTGCATTGCTTTCAAACTTCAGGATTTCAGGTGTTACTTGTAACTTCCAGTTTGAAGTTGTTTCAGGAGCTATTAGCTTAAAAGAATTAAGCTTACTGAGTTTTATTTCCCACAAGTTTTATTTTGTCTTTTGGTTATACTTATTCCTTTATTCCACCATTCAGTCATCCTTGTAGAAAATGGAGGCAAAATATGAATTTAGTATTGAGCTGATATATACCGTACTTTAGATCGGTTTGTATTTTATCACTGCTGTATAGTAATACATTTATCTTTTTACTTAGTTGGTTGTACTTTTAAAAATTGATCTTATCCATTTTCATTGTCTCCTCATTGTTATACTTTTTGACCCCTTAGATATAGTTTGCAATCATCTGCCCTCTGTGCTTTCGTCTGTCCACTGGTTTCTAGTACAGTTCTTAAGGTACCAGCTAAGCCTAGAGCCCCTTCTGTATATTTGCAATGTTAACTTTTATTAATTCAGTAGCAGGTGTGAGTTTTTTGGTTGGTTTGCTTGGATGGGGTTGTGGGGGTTTTTAATTTGTTTGGATTTTTTTAAGAAACCTGTTGGCTACCTCATCCAAAAATACCTGAGCCCTGTTACAACGAGGAAACATTTGCTCTGTAGGTTGTACTTGGAATGTTTCGTGTCCTTTAATACGCTATCCAGTAGTACTTACTTCTCTGTCAAATTCAGGTATTCCTACTGTCTTTTCTATCATTCTTTGCAAAGTAGTTCTGACCCAAGCAAGTACTATTTTATCCATGTTTCTTTGAAGTTTTCGCTAGTAACATATCTTAATGACATTCAACTTTTATTTCTATCTATCCAGAAGTGATGTAATTTTCTATACTGCTGTAATCGTGTTTCCATCATCCTCAAAATAAATTCTTTTCACAACTTGCATCTGTAGTTTATGTATTTTTATTTTATGGGCAACCTCCTGACACTTCTGTGCAAATACTTTGATTGTTACTAACTGCAACACCAACACAGGGCACCAGCAGACCCTAATGGCCGTGACTGGTCTCACCTGCCTTGCTCATCTGCACCAGCTGCCTTTGGACCTTCAGTCCTAACCTGAGCTGTGTTGTAGCTGTACCTTGTTCCTGTCCTGCTTCTGAACTATCGTTTTGATGTCTTAAATTGACCTCGGACATGACCTCTTACTTTACTTCTTGCCTGATATTCACTGTGCCCTCAGTAGGACGTGGCACAACCATCAGTCTGTTTTCAAGCCAGTGACTTTTTTTCACGCACTCACTGAGGTGGTGCCTCATGTATATTATGTCCTTCAGGTATCCCTCTGCAGTATGGAAGCGAGTTCAGCATTTAGAAATTTTTATCAACTCTAGCATTGTTCATTATTGTTTTCTTTTTCTCCTCCTTGAATTAAAAGAAACTATCCACAAAATTATTTCCTTTCACAGGAAACATAGGGCTGCCATGGCACAAGATGAAAGTTGAACAGCCGGTGACCAGGGGACAGCATATTGGATTCAGCATGGTGGTTATGTTAAAAAATGAACTGTTCTTTATATTACTCTGTTTCTTTGGCAGGTGTTATAGCGCTGGCCTTATCCTGTCCTTACTTGCGTGAGGCATCTTTTAAAAGGTGCTGCAATATAACTGACAGTGGAGTTCTTGCCCTTGCAGTCAACTGCCAGTTCCTACAAATAGTGAACTTGGGTGGCTGTTCAGGCATCATGGATGCATCTCTGCAGGCACTAGGAGAAAACTGCAAATTTCTTCACAGTGTGGACTTTTCATCTACTCAGGTAACTATGGTGGCAATTGGCTAATTGACTTTTGTTTATTTTTAAAGATTGTCTTGATAAAATTGAAAGGGAATCTTTTTATCTCTGCTATTGATGGGACTGCGGACCACAACTGACTTCCAATTTCCTCCTCTCAAGGAAAAGGAAAGACATATTTTGCATCTTGGTAATCCAAAAATAGACATTTTGGTATTACAGCATGTATTACAGACCAAATTAAAACTTTTGTTAGAATCTACCTAATGCTGGAGATTTTTTTTCAGTATCTTTAGTGCATTCGTTTTCTTCAAGTTGTGGAGTAATCAAAATTACTTCATGTAAAGAAAGTAGAATTTTGGGCAGATTATTTTCTGCTTTCAGTTAGGACAAACTGACCTGAAAAATAATAATAATATAGAATGTCAGATAATATAAGCCCCTAGCATAAGTAAGCAGTTCATCATTAGTTCTAGTTCTGGAGGGAGCTTTCTGAATGGCTTGCCAGTGTTGTGTTACGGAGTCAACACAGAAAGGAATGACATTTGAAATGTCAGAAAGGGCAGAAAAAAGGCTGTAAGAGTTTTTAGCATGGGAAGGGGAAAATCAGCTGCAACAGCAATACTGTGACATGCTTGATAATTACAGTAAGTGATGGATGGAAAAGGGTTTTCTGCAGTAACCATAGTGTTCAGCTGACTGTGACAGTGAATGTTGATGCTGAATGTGAGTCAGACACAGAGCATTCATAATGAAGTGTCAAATCTGGAAAACATGTAGCAGATCTTTATTTTAGATGCTTTTTCTTTTTCTTTCTGTTTTTCTGGAAGTAGAGCATCAAAAGTAATTTTAACGTTTTCTTTGCTAATTTTTATTATTATCATTTAACTTTATTTCTTCAAACTTATTTTATTACTTTTTTTATTCCCTTGCCTCTTTCTGCTTTTACAGGAAATAGCTAAGTTTACCTATATATGTTTTAAGTGAGATTAAAGTTTCTTGAGTAACTAAATGTTTTCACTTTTTTTTATTCCTTTTTGATAATCATATGGTGGGAATACATTAGAATTCTGAGTTTCATTTGACTGAAAATAAATGGAAACATACACTAGATATAAATGAAATAAGTTTATGAAGCGCAGAAACTGTGGATGACTCATGCCTGCAGAGATTTCAAGGCTTAGCCATATTCTTGTGTTTGAGTGTCAGAATGCGTAGTAAAAATACCAAGTGGGACTGGCAAAGTTGTATGAAAAACAGTGAGAACACTGAAAATAAATGAACCTGCAAAGAAAGGCACAGCTCCCTCTCAGAAACAAAGCAACATATGTGAGCTAGACCACAGAGCAGACAAACGCCTCGAGGTGATGTAGCCATTTTATAAACAGCTTCATGTAGTGACTGCAGAGGTGAAGTACAATAAGTGGAAGATATACATGTGGTGCATAATAACAAGAAATGGGGTAGGTGAGGCAAGGGAAGAAGTGAAGTAAGAAGGAGATGCAGCTCTGTGTCCTTTGTATGCACACAGAGAACATGAGTGGAAGTTTGTCCTGTACAAGGCTGCTACACTGGCCCAGGACGGTGTAAGAAATCTAGTTATGTTTACTTCTCAGTAGGTTTATGTTACCATTCCGAGGAGTTAAGCCCCACCTAAAGCTAGGCCCAGCCTGTACTTACTGCTCTACTTCTAGTGTACTCTAAGCCCCAGCAACATTATCGGGTAGAAACCCAGGGTCAAGTGTCCAAATCTCTGCACTAGTTAAACAGTACAATTCCTCTTTAATGTTCATTGACTTGATGTACAGCAAATAATTGCAGGAAGAACCTTGCCTGAAAGGGCTGTGCAGACTGCAAGAGTTCATTATGCAGGGTGTGGGACGGTTTAGTTCTCTTCCAAATGTGTTGGCAGAAGCAGGAGCGTTGTGGGTTAGCTGTTTTATCTGTCCAGGTGCTTCTCATGTAGAAGGGAACTGGGTTGCTAACGGACTTGATGCCAGTGTTGGGCTATGCAAGCCTTTGCTAGAGATATATCCAGAGTTTGGTGATTATGGGCCTGTACCAAGAGGCTGATATATTTGTGACTTGGTGCTAACTGTAGGCAGTTTATCCCTGATATAAGAGTGCATCCCTTGCTGAGGATGGGCAGATATGTACAGAGAATACACATATAGATATTCAGTAGAGCAGGAAACAATGCTGCAACTGATACCGAAAAAGACCGTCAAAGAAACTCTCTAAGACTCAATTTTGGAGTTTTAGAAAGCAAGCATTCTTAATTGCAGTGCTGGATGCATGGAGGATAATTCCTCTTATAAGGTGTGCACACCATTATCTACAGTAAGCAAAGCTTATGTTCTTCTGATGCATACATATTCATTGTATTTGCTGAAATTGCCATTCAAATTATTTCCTAGAAATTTTTTGCATAGTGTCCACCCTTTTGGGCATGCACTGCTAAATGGGTTGGTGGTCTTTTGGGGTCCTCTGGTGGTCTTTGAGACCCTCTAGTGGTTGTTTTCTTGGTGTCCTCTAGTTGAACTCCCCCTTGAGTCATGGCATGGTGGGTCATCCCAGATGGCTCAGCTCCCCTTCTCCATGATCTGGTTGTTTAGATATTCAAAGGGAAGGTCGCAAAAACGACAGAACTTACCTACACGTAGATAAGCAGGCACTTCTTTATTGCAGCACTGGGAAGCCCGGGATTCACCCAATGCTTTGAATACATCACCAAAATTCAGCCTATTTATACACTTTTTGTGCAAAGTCATGATCTTTAACATACTTTAACATATTTTAACATAAACATGCATACTATGCCCACTATTAATTTTGACATTTACAATGATTGGTTTAGCCCTTATTAATATTCTTATATCAATACGATTATTGGTTATTCTATTGATTACAACTGCTGATATACAAATTGAGGTGAGATATGCGATGTTTCTATGTTACTATCACAAAACGTAAGATAAAAAGATAGGGAGGTAAGTTCAGAACATTCCAGGGAGGTAGGGAAGCAGACACAAAACATCTCCAGAGAGACAAGCATAGAACATTCCCTATCAGTTTCACAACTCATATCAGCTGTACTTCTAGCCAAGGCCTACACACTGTTTCTTAGCATAAGTAAGGTGTTTTTTTTTTTTAAGGTTTTATATTCCTTATCCTAATATAAGTCAATAAACTTCTTTAATTAAAATGGTGATTAATTAAAATGGTAATTAGTTATTCATTAGCTCCTTAAAACTTAAATTTGATTACTACATGGTCCCAAACTAGTCCTAGCCAGTTTTAATTGCAAAACTCACCAAGGCCTACTAGTAACAAAACTTAGGGTTTTCTTACCATAGAAAGTTTCCAAGTTGTTAATTTCGCACTACAGAGCTACAGTGGAGCCTTTGGTCAAGGCTCAAGCAAGCAAAAATCAAACACTTCAGAGGTACGAGGAGGGTTTTCCACCTCGAATCTTTGTTCAAGGTGTAACAGCAATGCAGTAATAGTAATATAGCAGTGGTTACTGTGAGCTCGTACAGGGAAGTGAGCGGACTTTAATACAAAACTGGTTTCATAGTCTTAGATGATGTAGCGCTAGGGCCTGAATCATAGGCCTTGAACTGAAGTTGACCTATAGATGAACCTCACAACCCCACACTATGTAGTATTAATCACATATGTAATGTATTGATAATCTGTTTTAGCATATATGGATATATATTCTAGTGCCCATCTGTAAAAGCTTTGCTGTAAGACTACATGCATGGTGAGAACCAGCAGGGGGATCTTTCTTTAGCTAAAGGCCAGGTGCAAGGCTGGGAAACTAACTGGCTCTTGTGTTGTTAGAAGTATATTACAAGACCGTGAGACCAGAGGCCTGGCTTTGGTGAGAAATCTGTGATTAAGGCCCAAAATAGATAGGGAGACTCCCTTGTATTCTTCCTTTAGCCCTGGCCAAGACGTGGGAGGAATCCAATGGGGCGAACAACACCAGATGTTCCCGCGTTCAAAGTTATGTAAGGTTGTTTATTTAATAGTATAAAAGCTGGATCCTCTTGCAGTGACTTTGGAGACCTCACCTATGAGTGGATGCGCTGCACTGGACTTCCCAATTGCCCAGATGGTTCTCCAGAATCCTCACTGCAACAGGGCTCCCCAGCGACTGCGGATTTGGATGATGATATTAGGGCAATTGGTGTGGATCTTTCTTAATAATTATCGCTAACTGCATATAGTAATGATTAGGTGTGTTACTCTGCTTGTTCTCCTTCCTGCTTAAAACTAGAGTATAATAAGCTTGCCTTGCCTTATTCTTGTAGTACTTTGAAGTAGACAGTAAAATAAGCTTATCCTCCTGTTGGTGCCTGTGTCCTTTCCTGTGGGATTCCCCTTCCCAGGCCAATTAGCACAACATGCGGTCGTAACCATAGACTTGCAAGCATCGAGACAGTACCATTCGGATGATCTCTTCAGTGTTCACGCACCAACCGGGCAGTCCAGTCCAGGAGAGCAATCGCTGTCAGTTCCCAAAGGATATAAAACAGCACATCCAAAATCACTGTGTGGTGACTGATCTAAGACCAACTTGAGTAAAGTGATGAAGATTTGACAGCCTGCGTCCCTTATCCTCCATGTCATCAAAACAAACCTGGACCAGCAGTGTGACCAGCAGATCGAGAGAGGTGATTGTGCCTCTCTGCTCTCCTCTGGTGAGACCTCACCTGGAGTAGTATGTTCAGCTCTGGAGCCCTCAGCATAAGAAGGACATGGACCTGTTGGAGAGGATTCCCAGGGGGTCCACAAAAGTGATCAAAGGACTGGAGCACTTCTGCTATGAGGACAGGCTGAGAGAGTTGGGATTGTTCAACTTGGAGAGGAAAAGGCTCCAGGAAAACCTTATTTCAGCCTTCCAGAAATTTTGTCTTATATGACTGGTCTGCTTCAAGTTACATAAAATTAAGACAGCCAATGAAAGACTTCTATAATTACTTTTTTTTCCCCCCCCCAACCCAAGAAACATCCTTCAGGAGCATCTCCAGCAGTTGTGAAGGCTGGAGGAAAATTTGTCTAGGTAGAGCAGAAGTGCTTTAAACCTTTTAATTTCTAAGTACCGTGTTCTGACCAGTAACAATGTGAGGGAAGGAAGCAGCAGAAATAGCAGTTACACAGCTGCAAACATCCTGGTAGAAAGCCAGGCAGGAGGATCACATGGCAGTAAAATGCAACAGTGTTTAACAGACTGAAAAAAACATACTTGGATAATTTTTTCAGTGAGCTTAGTTGGGAAGAAAACGCTATAATGTTAGCTGTATTCAGTGACTACAGGGAGTGAATAAATTAATTTATTTTTTCCCCCAGAAATAGCTGTGTTTGAAAAAAAAATCTAGCTTTAATTCATTGTGTTAATAACATGTTTTTATCTCTAGGTAACAGATGATGGCGTTGTAGCACTAGTGAGTGGAACGTGTTCGAAGAATTTAAAGGTAACTTAACCTAATAACAAAGAAAAAAAGCAGATATTTGCTTTTGTTAAATTATTATTATCAGTATTACTTCTGAGGGATGATTTTTATTGACTGACGTTTGGCTTTGCTTGTGTACACACTTTTGGTTATGAATTATTTTCTATCTCTACAGCAGTGCCCTAGACCAGCTTTTTGAGAACTTCTGTCTTTTCAAAATGAGTTTTATTCTGTTGAGTCTAGTATGCTTGTCTTAACTCAGGTTGTTTTAGAGAGCTGTATAATAAATACAAATGAATTCTTAACTTTTTTCCTTGACTTCTTTGGAGTTACTTCTTGATTTTCCTTGACTTCTTGGAGTTACTTCACTGAGGCAGAATTTGTAATGTAGATAATAACATGGATTTAAGAAATCAGCATCTCTGCAAAGGTCAATCTCTAAAGAAAAGAACTGTGAAAATGAAGTTGTCTTTGCATAAAGATTCTTTAGGTGCCGAGACACTGATAAAATGCTGGAGAGGAGGTGTAGAATCATAGAATCATTCAGGTTGGAAAAGACCCCTGGGATCATTGAGTCCAACCACTAACTCTCCTCTGCAAAGCCCTTCGCTAAATCATAGCCCCCACGACCACATCTAAACAACCTTTAAACACCTCCAGGGATGGTGACTCAACCACCTCCCTGGGCAGCCTGTTCCAATGTCTGACTACTCTTTGTGTGAAAATTTTTTTCCTAATGTCCAGTCTAAACCTACCCTGTTGGATCCCATACCTCTTACTATAAACAGTCTTCTCCTTTTCCGTGTAGTACATTTCTTGTTGTAAAGAATGTCTTTTGTAAAGGTTAGTTCTGAATCCAGGCTATTATTCTAGAAGCTAAGATGGGAAACAAATTACACTTTTGGTAGTTTATGGTGTTTAATAAAAAAACAACCCTAAACAAAATACCTGGGTCAATTGACAGTAGTAATAACCTGGAAAAAATAGAACTGTTTGGTTTATTTGAAAGGTAAACAGTTGGATTTGATTTTAGGGTTTTTCCCATCTGATTTTGGCTATTTTGGACAATCTTTTTAGTATTGATAAGTCTTGTGGCACAAGATGAAATTATTATTTTCCAAACCAACAAAATGCAGTTGCATTTATTTTTAATAAAAATTGACAGCTTAAAAAATGTTGCCTTTGTTTTTTCCTGATCACATTGCTGTAGTTACTATTTGTTTGAAAGTTCACAGGCTTTATTTTATGTGCTGCGCATGGATCCCTGTGGATCAGAAAGAAGTAGATAGTTTACATAAGACCTGCTTCATCTATAAGTGTTTGAGAAAGCAAAGAACTAATGAGAGATTTCAGTCATGCTCAGAACTCATTTCCACTTTTAAGAAAGTGCTTTTGCATTTGTTTTTTGAGATTGTTTTTTTGGGGGGGGAGAAGTTTGCTGTTTTAATAAGGCAAAATTTAATGTTTTTGTGTGGAATGACAACTTTAAAATCAAAAGTTGTGTTCACAGAATGTCAGGGGTTGGAAGGGACCTCAAAAAAAAGATCATCTAGTCCAGCCCCCCTGCCAGAGCAGGATCACCTGCAGAAGATCACACAAGAACACGTCCAGGCAGGTTTTGAAAGTCTCCAAAGAAGGAGACTCCACAACCTCCCT